AACAGTATATAATATGTCGTCGTCTCATGATACATTATTGCTGTCATGCATTAATTTCTCTATGATCGCTTGTTTATTTTCTTTTTTACCTGTCGTGTCGTGCCATATTATCGGTTCGACTCGCACACTTCATCGTGCCGTACCACGACGAGCACATGCAAAACGAGATGATGGCGTATGTAAACATGCATGAATGTTTTTTGCAGTACTGTTCAAACTTGAAAATTTCAAATAATACGAGCCACATTCAGTGTTGATCATGATGGTGATGATGATATCTTCAGTAGTGTTGCTATTGAAATGCTGCTTTGTTGATGCTTACATTAGAGAGCGATTAATTGATTCATTTTGAATTATTCATTTATTGCTACTGAAAGAATGAAACGCAATTCGTTTGTTCGTTTCATTTAGTTGAATTTGATTCAGTTGAATTCAATTTGGTTTCGTTTAAAGTTTCAGTGCTGTTTGCTTCAGCTGGTTTTCCATTATTTCTTCTTCTTCTTCGTCTTCTTTTTTTTTTGTTCACCCCACCGTCCGTGCAACGTTCCATCAATCATACTTTTATTGTTAACTTGGAGTTAGAAGCAAATTAATATTTTGTTTTTGTTTCGCTATCCAATAACGAAAATACTTTGATTTTTGATTTGTTCCGTTTAAATGTTCTCTCTATGCCATTTACCTCCTTCTCAGGAACAAAAAAAAATCATGCTTCTTGACGAGACTGATTCATGCACCGTCATTATTACAACATTTAACTGCTTCGCTGCTCGCTTGTTTGCTGAAAATTTCGAGTGCTTTTTGTTGTTCTTCCACTTTGTTTTGACGATCGNACCAATAAAGTGATTATAATTGCGCTTTGGCGTTATCGACTCAATTTGTATAAGTTTCGTAAACCAGCGAATGTGCGCATTGTTGTGGTGGGTCCGTCGAATTGTGTAGTTGACGAAAGTTGGTACGTTGTTTCATTCAGACGTTTCTATCAGGTGATTATTAAGTTGAGTGATGGTTTTCCGCTGTATCACCTTGAAATGGAAGTGTGATCGTGGATTATTGAATATCGATCTCGTGTATGATTATCGTGGAATTGTATTATCATCATGGAATTATCATGAATTCATTACTAACTCCACAAATTTTCCAAAAAGAAACGCGATAGTTTCCGTTGAATTTAATCTAAGAAAATGTTTTGATTGCTTGCAGTGTTGATGTGCTACACCTTGTGGAATGTCCGCTGAGTATCCGGGATGTAGAGCACTCTCAACTTGTTCAGAAAGTTCGCGAACTGGCCGCGAACTATGGTTCAACCAGCCGTAGACTATGCGCTTTTGAGAAGGAACTTCAAAGAGCTGTCGCCAAAATAAGGTATAGATCGCTTGAAAGCTAAGAATATTCACGCATCTGAGATGAGTTGAATATCACTTGGACGCCAGCTTACTGCATCGGATTTCGTGTCGTATTGAAGAGATGAGTTTTCAGGTTCGAACTTGACANTCAGGTGTTAATCTTCATAGTTCAATGGTTATTTATTGATATGAGGAGATAACTTTCAAATGCTTATGTTCCTTCTTGAGAGCCATGAATATGGATTGATATTTATGAAAATCGCTCACTAATTAGACTGTAATTCATGAAAGTGTTGATTTATTCCAATGATTCTAAGGCATTGCATAATGGCATCTCAATCACAACCAGATGCATGGCTGGAGAGAGCGATTGCTCAAATCGGTGCATTTCCGATGTTTTTAAAGCCGAGTGCTTCAATAACTTCGTGTATGCACACTCGCCATATTGCACGAAATGAACATGATTTTCTCACATGGGCCAGGGTTAGTTTGAGAATGTTTGTTTTTCTGCACCTTACTCTGGAAGTACTAATTTTTTGATAGTGTTGTAATAATGTCATC